ATACTTATTATTTTTGCTCAACATGTTTAACAGTTGTAACAAACAATACTAATAACACAGGCCTGCAATGATTTTATTGTCTTAATTTTTACATGTTCTACAATAATTCCTGTAAGCTGAATCCGAAAATATCTATTTTTCTTCATCATGTACAGATTTTTCAAAAAGCGTCATACGTACTTTTACATAAGTGAATCATTTTCATTGAAATCGGGTCACATTTTGTTATGCTTCAAATGTTGACAACCACTGGCTATAAATTTCTCTAGACCAATCGCAACGCGACAGTTTTATCAATAGTTCTAGAACCCAAACATAATAACAAAAAATGTTCATTGTGGTACACAAAATAATAATTTGATCTAAGTAAGTATTTTTCTGCCCAAATTGTAAAAAACCTTACGTAATAGAAAAAATGAATATTATTTTCAAAATCTGCATAACCGAATTATGGAAAATCCATTATTAAAACCAAAACAATTTTTATGAAGTTCGAATTTGCAGGCCTGTGTAATCAGTGAATTAATGAATGAGACCTGACACTTTTAACAGTAATTTCAAATGGCATTACTTGATACACAAATAATATTTTATGGTAACTTTGCAGTACCCCTTTTTTATTTTGTCTTCTGCATATTGTTTTATGCTCTTGTATAACTGATAAAGCTGTAGATTATATTTTCTTCCATACGATGTGTACATTAATAACTGAATTTATGCCACCTATGTGTGTAAACCTAAGATATTTAAAGCAATAATTTCTGACCATAATGTTTAAATATCTTTAATAAATAATTTTGGCTGTTTTTTGTCTGTTTGAGTTACTGAGATTGTAGAATTAGGTATTTCCTTTACATAATATACTGAGATTACCATTGATTACTTAGATCCTACTTTTAGCTGAAGAATAAGTACCCTTAATCATGTAATATGGTATCTTACGAGTAGCTGGTGAGGCAAGTTGCTAATGTTGTCCATTTGTTTTTATAAGCATAACCTTTATACTCTTGGTTTTTAAATAACTTAATCTAAGGTAAATCTTACTTGACTCTTAGTCTTAAATTGTTCTTTTGTTGTTGTTTTTTTTTTAAGGTTGAACAGTAAAGTTCAAATGAAGAAATTGTTTAAATGTTATAAACTTTATTTGCAGTAATTTTTGTTTAACCTTCTATAGTAAATGTTGCAAGTTAGCAAACTGATGAATTTAGGCCACATCATCTTAGGACCATTGGTTTAACAGATTAGAATGTCTTTATCTTAATGTTTGTAGAATAACTTTCTTTAATTACACAGGAAAACAAAGCAACAATGGGTGTTCGAAGCTTCAATGAAGAATGCAGCTACTTGGAAAAGATTTCCTCCTGTTGCTGGAGAATCAAAAAAGGCTTTGTTTCCAATATGAAGGTTTGCTCTGTTGTGATATTTAAAATTGTTTTTAATCAAAAAGTAATATCTAAATTCTCTAGTTTCATGTTCAAAGTGTGTGAGTATGAACTAATGTGTACAAGTTATACATAGTTTCACTTTTATCACATTCTAGAATATATATGAAAAACAAATGCAGTGCCTAGACACCTGACAGCCAGATATGATCTTTCAAATACTAAATACCTGACAGTAATAAATAATGATACTAATGATAATTTCCAAAAAATTATATCACCAATTTTTATATATTGGAAGCTTATCAGCATTCATGATTGAGAAGTTATGTACTGCTGGGTATCTAGTATTTCTAGGATCATTCCCGGCAGCTTGTAACAAACACAGACATCAATCAACAGTAAACAAAAATGACTATTGATATTTATTTTTCCAGTGCATAAGCTTTACTCGGAATGTTTCATTGAGCTTGATGACAAATCAGCCTCATAATTTACTATTACTTGTTCACTAAGTCAACTAAGAGGTGATTGTAACTCAACAATACTCAAGTTTTTGGACTACCAGGTATTAAGTTCGTTCCTGGCTGCCGAGTATCTAGCCACTTTGAAAAAACAATGTCCCGGAACAAACATTACCATTACATATGTGTAAATTATAGATATGAATTAATGTATTTAATTTTCATAGGTTACGAATTAACCGATTGCCACGGGTCATAGGCCATGTCATCGTGTTTGTTGACTTGCATTCAAAATTTTATTGAACTACTATTTTGTGAATTTGTCAATATGTTTGGTATTAAATTGTAGATTATAATTCAAATTTTAGTGTTATACATTAGTTAATTTCATAATTTAAGAGTAAACATTAATATAACACACCTAAATATAGATT